AAAACCTGCCCTTGGAAACACATCAAGAAGAAGAGTTTTCCAAAGAGTGGTGAAAATTTGAGCCCAAAATATTAAGAAATAAAAAATCCCGCCCATGGTGAAAAATATGCCATTTTTTGACAATTTGGATACCTACCGGTAATCAGCCCGTAGTTACTGCAACAAAAACAAAATGTGGGTACATGTATAATAATCCACATAAAAAAAACCTTCAAATTGACGTTCTAAGATCACGAATAGCTTATTTGGTTGTGAAGTAATCTCTTCTGAAAGTTGAAATTTTTAAAAATCTCGAAAATCCAGGATTGTAGCCACTTTAGAGCAAACTCAAAAAAGGCGTTTGTTCAGAATGCCAAAATAAGCATTTTTAACCAAGTTTTGCTTAAACTGGTGGCATCGCCCACAACTTTTTAAATTCTGTACTCACTGCAGTTGGAATGACCCATTTTTGATTTTTTTTTTTCTTGAAAATATTGTTGCACGGAAGCGGCATTTCTGATCGAAATGACGTCTGAGACAAAGTTTTAGGGAAAAAGTAATGTATTTCTGGGAAAAACAAACAATAAATGTTTTTTTTTTTTTTAAATTTAATTAATGTAAAACTCATAAAAGGATATGGAAAATGCAAACTTTTGGAATGTTCAAAATCATGGACACTAGTAAACTAACAAAAATTGCATAACAAGAACTTTTGGTAACATTTTAGAACATTTTGTTGGTTCGAATTTTTGTTTATTTTTTTCCCAGAAAATGATTTTAAATATTTCAAACATTGTTTTTCAAGTATGGAGCACATGAAAAAACGTTTTAACAAAAATCTCAAAAAATCGACCAAGACTTCTTCTTCTTCCAAGATTTTTATAAATTTTTAAGAGTCTACATGTTTGTATTTTTATGAGGTTTAAAAATAAAACAAAATCAGTTTAAGGTTAAAAGGTTTTTAGCATTTCTTCTGAATGTTAACTAAAAATATTTTTTTGTTTATTGCTCCTAGAAAAACATTTTGCTTCTTTATAACTTTGTCTCGGACGCCATTTCGATCAGAAGTGCCTTTTCCAAGCAATTTTAAAATTTTACAGATCCAAAATGGCCGTGAAGCATAACAAACAATTATGCAAAGTTTAATGCATGTTTAATGTTAATTCAAAGAAAATGCTGAGGAGGAGTTCTAAAAAAAATATATGAAAAATCTAAGAAATCAACATTTCAAGATTATATTGAGATGAAGTTCTCCGAAGTTCAGAGATGAATTCCAAGGGATAATGAAGCTGCTCGAAAGAAATCCTCAAACAAGATTCATGAGTCTCTTTTACGAGTACATGACGCTTGGCCCTTCTTCATTCAATTCCAATCGTGTTTGCCTCCAAGACTTTTAAAGTTCCTCTGTAAATTTTGATCTGACCATGTTGTAAGAAATCCATGGAATACCAGTTCTCCATCGGTCGATGGTTGTTCCCTTATTTTTTGCAAACAAGTACCACCATGTCAGTAACAATACCATGCTCCGTACACGTTGCAGAACTAGCTGCTATATTTTACGCAGTAGAGCTAATTGGCTCACTACCATCTGACCATTATTTCATTTTTACAGATAGTCTCAGCACCTTGGAGGCTATTCGTTCAATGAGGCCGATGAAGCACTCCTCGTGTTTCCTGCCTGAAATACGATCTAAACTGAGTGCTTTATCTAACTGCTCCTATACTATCACCTTAGTAGAAAGCGGACTCGCTAGCTAAGCTGGGCGCTATGGAAGGCGATATTTTTGAGCGACAAATCGCCTTCAACGAATTTTTCTCCATTGCTCGTCAGCAAGTCCTCATCAGTTGGCAACAAAAATGGAATGATGGTTACATTCTATTCTCCCTCAGGTGTCGATCATGCCGTGGTTCAAAGAGTTGAACATGAGCCGTGACTTTATACGTGTCATGTCAAGGCTCATGCCCAATCACTGCTCGTTAGATTCGCATTTATTTCGAATCGGGCTTGCAGGCAGCAATTTATTGTGTTGCTAGATCCGAGTTATCCGCATCTCTCAGTGGCCGAGAAAAACAACCTTTGCGGCCCGTTAGAGACATCTTGGCTAGCCGAGATCTCGAGTATTTAAATTTAATTTATGTGTTTTTAAAACGGATCGATCTGAGGATTTAGTAGTTAGTGTTATCTTGTGTTCTCCCAAGTTGTTAGCTCCCCATCGGTGTACCCCCATGTTTGTCTTTTTCATCAGTACGTCGCTTAGTTCGAGATCAAGAGCAAATTGCTCTCCAAACTCTGTGTTCTCGATCCCTTCCCTGACATCCAATTGTTACAATTTGTTACCTCTAACCTCGACATAGCCGCATGTAATCGGCCCCCGCTTTACTAACGTAAGTTTTAAGTAAGTTTGTTATCCAAACATTGAATATCGGCTCCGCAAAGCTACAGCAAATGAGCGTGGAAAAATAAACGCATTATAAAATAAAAGGAATTTGAAAGGCTTTCTATAGAGAAGAAATGAAATTTGGAATAGAATTCTGACGAAAATTCAATTGGAACCATAGGGAGAATAGCAGGTGAATTGCAAAAGAATTTAGATGAGAGTTCAAAAAGTATTGTAGACACGATTAAAAGGCTGTTCTGAGTATAATTTCAAAGAAGTACTGAGAAAGATTCAGAAAATAAACACACAAAAATTGTGAATAGATTTACATAGCAATCGTATAGGATAATTCAATAACAAAATTGAAGTAGAATTTAAAAGAAATTCTTACAGAAAGTTGGCAGAAAGTTCAGAAGAGAATTATCCTTAGGGATATCTGTTTTACCGGTTCGGTGGTCACTCTGTGATAGTACAAGCATAAGTTTTCTGATTAATTTTTTTTTTTTTCCTTTGGTTTGTTTTTTACGTCGATCTTGTTTTCCGTGCTGAGCACCAATGCTACCAACGTGCCAGGAAGGCAGCTCCCACACCTGGACCCTACCTATCGACCCATCAACTCATGAACCGGGGACCAACGACTTTACTTCCCCCATCCGAAGGAAGGCGTGATCAGAGATGTTATGCCTCAGAACATCCCGGCGGCGCCGACTGGGATTGAACCCAGGCCTGCTGGGGTGAGAGGAAATCACGCTTACCACTACACCACCGGCGCCGTTGAAGTTTTCTGATTAAGTCATTGAAAGCAGCACGCACGAGTCCATTCCGTATAGCATTTTAAATTTAGATAAACTTCTCAGAATATACTATTTACCGAAAGTAAAGCGTTTCGGCGGTATCTCTAACAATAACGCTGTTCGCCGTATCGACCACTGTGAGCTGGTGGTTGAGTGGTTGGGGGGGCTTTCCATTAACCACGCAGACAGTTTTAGGGTGTGGAGAAAGGACGGAGCAAATGCATAGAATCTGCGAAAGCGCTTTCGCCTAGCGGAGCTGGGTTAAAATCCTACTTCACTCATTTTTGAATGCGAGGGTGGTTTCTGATATTAAATCTATTTGGTTATTGATTTTTTTTTTCAAAATATCTTACAACAACAGGTGAGCAACATTGGAGAACAAATGTTTCACGCGAAATCAATACATACTACACCGAATCTCGCACAGCAATAAGTTTTACTGAGATCTCAGCAAAACATATTCCGAGACTCAGCAACCAAACGTCACTTTTTCTGAGATCTTGGCAAAATATATTTACCAGGAATTCGGCTGTGTAAATCTTGGCAAAAATTTACGAGAATCGGCAAATATAATTAAGTGTGTAAACTAGAAGATCAAATGTAGTAAAAGTATGTACAAATTGAAGACAAACCAACGATTCCTGAGATATGCGCTACGAAGAAATTTCTCTTCATTTTTATTTTTAGCTATATGACCTTAAGAATTAAGAACTCACTTTTAATTTGAAGTTAGTCAATCATTGGGGCTACATTGAGTCTGTTGATGTTGACAAATAAATAAATGATAAATAACTATTCCACGTCTTCTCCTTTCTTTACCTTTCCATTTATCTTAGAGTCATGATTCCATTCTAAACTTATCGTGTTGCACATTCCGCTAATCAATTTCACGGCAACTGGAAACGCAGTCTGAGATCATACAAATGCACATCCGAAATGCTCAGCAGGCCTCCAAATAATGACATTCGATCAATCAAAAAATCCCCATGCTCAAATTTTCCCAGGCATCCAAATCAAAATTCAAGTGAAAACCCAGTCAGTAGTCATACCTGTAGATAACGATAGCAGTCGAAAAAAAAAAACAATAATTTGATGGCATCTCAAGCATTTGCAAACAACATCTTGCAACACCGCACCATCTTGCCCACCTGTCGAGCAGCGAGTAATGGATTCACTTGATCGATTTGCATTCGCTGTTGATTTAAAACATTTGCTGCAGTCAGGCAGTAGGTACCTAGATAGTTCGGATTGGTTCCAGCAGTGTCCAGCGGGTTAGTTGTTTTGTTTTAGTCTACACTTAACAACGGAGGGAGGCCTCAGTGCGCATCATAATCAAGTCATTTATGGATGCAGGCTTTCCGCACCTTGCAGCTACCGTTCACAATGTACCGTGAGCCGTCGCCATTACTTCCACGGCCGTAAGGAAAGATTTAAATTTCACTTAAATTGCACTCTTCTTGCGCTCGCGGATAACACTTGCTTTTAATGAGCTTTCGCGAGACGTAGCGGTCTACACACGGTCTGCACAGCCATACAGGCTTTATCCTTTCACTTTCTCCGTGCCTGATCTGTTTGTGGCTTGTTTTTTCAGGCGGTTTTTCTTCACTTGGACCGAGCAATACTAAACACAACAATCTCACATTCAAATGACTCCCGAAGCCGACGAACGAAAGGTTCCTCGCGGTGTCTTTCCTGATTTGAAGCAAGGATTGTTTTTCACACCTTCACTTAATTTTTCATTCGCACGCTCGCTTCAACACACGCTTTTCACACTTTCCCCTTTTTGTTAACGCCCTAGAAGCTCACGAAAACTGCGTCAACGAAGAGAGTTCGACGATCGGACACTTACCTGAAATGATGGACATGCTTCGATTGTGGTTTCCACGGATTAGATCCGATGGCTTCAGGGTGGCCTCCTCGACCACTTCTAGACCGGAGTCAGAATCAGGACCTTCGCCGTTCTGCTGCATTTGCTGCTGCTGCGGTACTTGATTGTAGTAGTCATGCTGGGCGTTCTGCTGTTGACCCGAGGTGCCATTGGAGGCACCCGTGGTGTTGAAAATCATCGCGTTTTGTTGCGAACCGACGCCGCCGTTGTTCATATGCTTGTGGAGATAGAAATTATTACCGTTCGTCATCGAGCCGGACTTGGTCTGACTGCCGGGCCCGTAGTGAGTCGGCTGGGACGACGACGACGACGACGACGACGAAGACGCCGACGGTGCCTTCAACGGTGGTGGCAACGGTGGCGGTGGGGGTCCCATTTCTGCAACCGCACGATCGTACGAGAGAGTCATCGCGATGAAAACGAAAATTGAGAGAAGAAAAAGAAAACGGAAAATGAAAATGAGAGTAACAGATGCAAAAAAGATTTTCACTTGGTGCGCAAAACAAAAAAATATAACAAGTTGTTTGTAAATTATCCATCTCTTTTCGGATGGCGGATCGGATTGAAATATTTCGCTTCCTCTCATCCTCCTCAACAAAAAGGTACGAGAGATACCAGTGGTAGACCATGTTCACACCTTCATAGGAAAGGCACAGGTGTAGACAGGGCAACTAACTTAAGAGGTAATTGATTATTTAATGTATAGAAATGGGAGTCAAAAAATTCTCATTGTTCTCAAAACCTAGGTACAATATGGTATAATTCAGGTTGGATTAACATTTATCGGTGAGTTTGCTAGCTAAATCAACCTTTTACAGGACTGTATTGGATTAATTTCGCAAAATTTGTTTATATAACTGTAGTAATTCGAAGAGAAAATTGATGATTCTGAACGCTAGATTGGTTAGAGGTTCTTAAATCCAATTGTTGTTGTTGTACACATTCGATTTCTCTAGGGATCATACAATAATTAGGTAATTGAGATTTTCAAACCCTTCCTCCGTCTATTGTAAGAAGGAATATTTAATACAAGTCCCCCTCCCCTCTTAATAAATGGCCCGTATATGTTTTGTTCATGCTTACGGAAGATATTTCTGAAACCCCCTCCCTCCCATAGATTTTTTGACGTAGGACTACGTCTGTGATTTCTATATGGGGATACACTTTGTGAAAACCAAAAATGGAACATGTAGCAAAATTATGAAAGATTTTGAATGTTAATAACTCAGCTGCCCCTGGACCGATTTCAAGAATTTTATCACCAATCGATCAGAAATATTTCTACGCATGTTAAATTTAAGACTCACCATTCAAAATTGTACGAATATGCAACCAACCGGTGGAAAATAACAATTTTAAATTGGCTCACTATTTGACTAGCCTATTGGTCTCAAGTAAATCGAATAACGTACCCCATTCTAGTCGAAATTCTAGCACTATACTATGTTTGTTTTGATTCGCTTTGAAAATTTGGCAGATAAAATTAGGGGTTCGTGGATTTTCCTATGTTTCGAGGGGTGCATCGATTAGCTTGGGACCGAAGAGAGTACCAGAGCTGAGCCAAAAAGTTGAGCACGCTTCTTCGGGACCTTCAAGTCTTAGATTAACCTCTATGATACAACTGTTGCTTTGATAATTAAAATGATCACTGATTGCCTGCGAAAAGCGATTTCCCTAACACAGATTTCACAGTTGAATTTCATCCGGTCTCACCAAACGGTGTTTATGCAATCACCGCGTGGTGAGGGGTGGTGTTCTCCAATACACAACGAAAGGCTGTCTGCTAGCAGCGAGCTGCAGCCCACATTAGCATCCATAGAAGGAGGATGAAGCCGCATCGCTATTGATCGGGATCAGTTGCTCTTCGAGAGTTGCTGTGGGTCATCTATGTCAATCGTTTATACTAAAGAGTATAAACAGAGAGAACCCTGCTCAAATTCCTATTCCTACACATAACATAAGCTCCTGCTGCAGTTAACAAATAAGATTTATTATATAAGACCACGTATTCCTACGTCACCATTGCGTACAACCCCATAGGGCTGTCCCTTGTAGTTTTTCTTTATTTTAGTGAATTTTAGCCATTGTCTAGTTCTTTACTTTGCAGGAAAAATATCAGAGGTATAAGGCCTGTCATGGGAAAAAAACATAGTTGGAATTTACAGAGTTTTGGTTAGACTACATTTAAAATTTAGGAAACACAGAAGAACAAAGTAGACCATTGACGTTAAGTTAATTTATTTACTAATCCGAACAAGGCAGAGCTCCACCGTCGAAGGCGGTGCCGTCCAGTAGAGATGCCCCGACGGCCGAAAGGAAGGAATCAAACATTGAAAAATAATCCAGCGTCCTTCAGCAAGGAGATCAGGGTAGCCAGGTTCGAAGGTTCGTGGCCCAGTATGTCGCCGATATTCCCCGAAAGGCCGTAGTGTTGCCGCACGAGCTCATACTTTGGATACACGCAGAGGATATGCTCGACGGTGGCTGGAATATTACAGACGACGCAGGTCTTGCGGAAAACTCCTCCACCGAAATCGTGTGAGAGCCGGGTGTGACCTGTGCGAAGTCTGGAATGACTCGTTTCAGGTTCCCAGGGTCCTTCCATGGACGCGTGCTCTCCTTGATTTTCCTTAGAAGCGGTCCTTGGTTTGCCAACCATTCTTCTTGCCACCTAGCCTGCATGGAAGTTTCGACCCATCGCTTGATGTCCGGAAGGGGAACTTCATCGGTGTACCTGGCACCGGATGGTCCCGCCCCGGCCAGTTTGTCAGCGTTGGAGTTACCAGTCATTGCCACAATTCCCTGGAACCCCAGCAAATACTGCGTTCGGTGGGAAGGGGGGTGGCGGAGGTGTGCATTTCTGATGATCCTCTTAATCCACGGATGAGTGGGCATGTTGGATCGGTGAGCAGAAATTACGCTGTGTGAATCAGTGAGGATTAGGACTGGTCGGTCGGATGGTGTGATTGCTGCTTCGAAAATCGCCGCTGCCTCTGCAGAAAAAAAAAAAACAGAGCACTGTGGTGGTAGGCTCAAGCTCGTTGGCGAGATCTTTCCCGCAATGCCTATCCCAACTCCGTTGTGCGATTTTGACCCGTCCGTAAAACGGTGCGTATGCCTGGGGTACCCGGAGTTTAGCATCTCCACGACGGAAGGCCTGAGCGCCGCCGAGTTGTCTCCTGCCCTAAACCGGTCCTTAATTCGGCTTTCGATGATTGACGGTCTCGATTGCCAACTTTTTCCTCCCAGCCAGGTGCTCTTGGCTATTGGGGGGAGGTCGGTATTGGCTCCCTCGCCGGTCTACAATATTTTGACTAGAGACTTAGACAGACTTAGAAAAACATACATTTTTGCAAACTTTTGGATAAACATCAATCCATTTAAAATATGCAAAATTAGTTCCCTACCCGACCAAAGTCGGATATCAGAATACTATCAAAATCATTATGTTTTGATGTGCTATTTTTTAATTTCGTTTGAATTCATATTTTAATATTATTTGATGTTTCTATAAAATATAATTCAAAACAAAATTTGGTATTTTATGAATAGAACATTCACATTTATCCCTGAAATCTATTTTTTGCATTTTTTTTTCTATCGAGTCAATCGGGATGCTTGCTTTTTTTTATGAACATCACAAAGAAAATTATAATTTTTACAGTTATGTTTTACAATTTTTTTGATATTAATATACATACGAATGTAATTCACAAATCGATATAACTGATAGATATCGATAGAACTGATTGAAATATAGGTTTGTTTTTATTTTGAATAGATGAAAACTTATTAATAACATTTTTCGATTTTGAATCTTGATATCAACCGATAGATTTCAAAACATTCAGATTACTAAATTTGTTATCATGATATCAAAATAATAACTAATTAAGTTAATTTTTTTGTTTTCATACCATAGGTATAATAACATATTGATAACCTATTTTGTTTATTATTAACGAAATTACTAATATAAAAACCCATACACTACCGATCATAAGTTTAAGGACTCCCCCAAAAAACCATGCAAATATGTTTTGTTCAATGATCTCTCACGTTCAATTTTCGATCTCCAAAGGTTATTTAAATTGTATGAATGGTACAGCATAAGTGTTCTACTACTACTTTTATTTCAAAATTTGGCCAACCCAATTCTAAGAAAATCAATCACAATTCTTCAGAGTAAATTTTGAAAAATATTTTAACTTTGGGTAAACTTTTAGCACACAAAATTTTAAAATTATATTAAACAATTTGCCTAAGTTCCATTCAAAACCTTTAAAATGATCTAAAGAGAACGAAAATTAGACGCAACATGACAGAGATATGCACCTAACAAATTTGTTATGTTTTTTTGGGGTGTCCTTAAACTTATGATCGGGAGTGTACATGGATTTGTTATCAAGAAAACATGATTTGTTCTTTAAGAGTTATGATGGGAACTTACAATCAATTACTGTCATTGGTCGAAAGATACAGTAGCAGCACCTACCCTACCAGTGTCCCCTCGAGATCGTCAAGTCGACGATGACTGGAGCACATACCGTGGTAGAGGTAACAATAGCTTCAATTTCCAAACCTACCACTGGATGCCTTCCTTCAGATAACAGCTTGAGTGCGGTAAAAATCGGTAGAACTGTTTCAAACACATCTTTGGTACTTGAACGTGCCGGTGATCATCTCTTTTTGCCAGTGGTGGCGGGGGAATACCCCTCACCATCCCTCTCCAAAGGGGGGAGTTTGGTAAAGAGAGATGATCAAACCGATTTGTAACTTCATTCATAAAAATTGTCCTTGCTCGCTTTCTACTCTCTATACAAACAATTTCACACTGCCGTACTCTAACGGAACTATCAACTCTATACTTTCATCTCCTCATCTATTGTATAAAAATTACCACTCTAGTCTGTTATTTGAAATTAGCATCTTCAACTACATGATTTATTGTCTTTTAAATATCCTTTATATACCATTTAGATCTATGATTACTGTTAACTCGACCACACGGTAGGCAAAATATCAAATTTTGTTTTAATGTTGTTTTAATTTTCTGCTCGGGTAACGTTTCTCCTTCGAATGATATGCAAACATTTAGAATTTCAGCAAGAATTTTTAGACATAGTTATAGTAAGCCAGTTTCAGCGAGAATTGGTCACAATACATTTTGAAATCATCTGCCTATAATGATTGGCAGAAATTTATGCCACGATAATGGCCATTTTACATTAGTGATGGTTCAAAATGCTGATTAACTATAATTGGTGTAAACTAGAGAGTTTCTAGTATAAGAGAATAGCGGATTCAAAACAAACTGTCTTGGCAACCTTAGCCTAGGTGTTTTCTAGTAACACTGCCAATGCAATCCAGATAGGCGC